TATTAGTTGTAATAAGCAAGTATTACTAATATTTCTTACATTACTGTAATAAAAGAAGTATGCTTGTTTTCCACTACCCACCTCCCCCCAGAAAAGATATTAGTACTTTAACTGCTCCAAGAACCAATAATTTTTTTTAAAAAATCAACTTTTTCTAATTTCTTCTCACAAATTACTTGTTTCTGCAACTGCAAATTTTCTGTGCATACATATTTCCCACAGTCTCTCTGCAAAGAAGGTTCATGAACATGCTCAACCTCACAGCTGCTCAGAGCTATCGAGGCCATTCCAGATCACCAGTGCAGTGCTGCAGAAACACCAATACAACACATGGCCAAATTAAAGAGAAGTCAGGGGAGCTGTGTAACTTGCGTGACAGTGCAAGCAAGACCAAAGGACAATACTGTTTCCCAAAAAGACCTATGGACTCAAATGACAAGTCTCTAATGAACAAAAAAGAAGTAATGAAATCAAGAAATGGAGCAAAAGAGAAAAAGACCTCAATGTTTGCAGATAAAGTGAGTGTGTGTAGATTCTAGCCTCTGCTTTGGGTTTTGTTGAATAAGAAGCACGTTGGGCAAGCTGAAGAAAAAATATAGAACTGCCTTGAAGGGACAGCAGTTAATGACATGACAAGTCGCACCCAGGTGAAATCCTGATGGTATGGGAAGAAAGAAAAGAAACTTCAGAAGATTTATCTTCTATCTAAGACAAAAAGTAAGATAGATGGATATGGTAAAGAAAAGGAAACAGAAAAAATAATCAATAACAATGAAGTGGCAGAAAATTCTCTTCCCTGTGCAGAGTTTCTCCCTTGAAAAGCTAAAGGCTTAAAACAGGTTTTGTCAATACAGTCACCTGAAAAAATACTGAGAGATTATACTGTTACCACCCATATATGTTGCTTGGAAATTACCAATAGTATGGTATAAAGCACAGATTTACAGAATCACAGAATATTCTGAGCTGGAAAGGACCTACAAGGATCACTGAGTCCAACTCTTAAACAAATGGCCCATACAGGGGATCGAAACTGTAACCCTTGGTGTAATTAGCACCAAGTTTTAACCAACTGAGCTAATAAGACAATTTCAGAATTTTTACAAATACCACATTGGAATCATAAATGGCTAAATTATGACCAATTGCTATCAAGAACACTGGAAAAGTTCTTAACAGAAAAAAACAACATACAAATAATATCCTGGCAAAGTGGACTGGGAAGTGTGAATTCAGTGCTCTGAATAACCAAAGTGAAAATGAGATCACATATAAAAAGCTGAGGAAAATAGTACTGAAAAGCACTGGCAGGAGGAAGTTAGTAACTACCATCCTTAATTCAGACTATTACAACAAAAACATTGGAAAAGTATGTACTCAGATGCTGAGGGAAGGACTGTACTTTCTGAAAAGAAAATGGGAAGGGAAGAATTTGGTGCTATGAGCTTAAGACATAGGTTGCTTGCCTACAATGTGAAAGTTTCTTGCTGGAAGCTTTATAGCAAATGTGTTCGAGTGGGTTGAACTTAACACTATGTTTCCCCAAGTACAGAAAGGATGGTGAAAAAGCAGAAACCCTTCTAACAGAATACAAAGACTTTCTTACTAATGCCAACAGAAATTCTAGGTAGATGATGTGAAATCATATCACTGGATTAGATCAGTGGTAAAATATAAGAAAGCACTAAAAATATTAGAAAACACTGTGTAGGAGGACCTCACAGAAAGTATGTTGGAGTAGTATGTGTTGTATACAACAATAATGTAATATGTAAAGCAAGAATCCATAAGCCAAAAGATTTTCCAAAGTGAGTATATATCTTTCTTTTAATATTCTTATTTCTACTGGTTGCCTTGCTGTACCATATGAGAAGCCATTTAATGATGAAGGAAAGGAAGCCTGTTTCACATCTGGTATTTTTTAGAGAATCTGAAATGATAAGCAGAATGCTAACAAAATGAAGAGCTGCAGATATTGTCTCAAAGGATACAGAAATGGCATTAATATTAAACAAATGCACATAACCAGAAAGATCTAACCACAGCACAGAAGAGATTGTACCAGCCTGGCTCCCTCTGCCTTACAATGTTCTTGACACTACCCTGGTGTGTCAGCTCTGTGCCATGAAAACAGCTCTCCGGAGGGCTGTGACACAGCTCTCACATTACATACCTATGCATTTACTTTCACTCATTTTTGATTGAAAAGAAATAAAAAAATAATGCCTGCAATGGAGACGTGGGGAGGCCAGGCAAACCCCACGTCAGCAGGCTGCCATTTGTATCCTTCTGCATATGTCACTGAAATGGGAGCAAATAGGACAGAGTCTATCTAAGGGACTTGGGTAGGAAGACCAAGAACACATAGAAATCTTATCAGTATCACTGCCTGAGTTAGTCAATTTTTATACTGACAAGAGAGAAATAAATAGCTAGAAACAATTGCAGATACCATGGAAAAGGAGATGTGCTTAATGAGAGCTGTCTATATATCCAAGAGAGAAAACAAACTGGCTAAAGTTTAGCTCAAATAACTAACCAGGCAATATCTTGCTAGAGAGAGTGGGGTATTAAGAGAGCTACAGAATGCACACAGAAAGAGATGAAAGGAACAACCTGAAGATCATCATGACTAGGCTTCACGAATGAAGATTTGAGAAGGACTCTACCCACATTTGCTACAAGCACGCTGGTGGCTAAAGAGGTCTATCTTGCAGCAACATATACAGCACTAGGAACATGCAGCACAAAGATAATATACACTGTATTTATTTATAGATACATACAACTGTAAGAAAAATGTCAAAATATGTTTTGTAACTGTAGATATGACCTGCTTGACAATTTGTTTTTCCAGCTAATAGCTTTTCAAAGGAAACCCATCAACACAAAACTCATCTGTCTTCAATCCTTGTGTGCTATTAACAACATCCCAGATCACTAAAATCAAAATGATTTTAGAACTCTGTCTTGCTGGGTATTTTTTCGTTTCACTTCCTTTTACCAGTAAGACGAAATCTAATCATCAGTTCCAGAAACTGAAGGGAGTTTTATGTACTGCAGGGAATGTTCAAAGCAAACACATACTCCTTCATTAAGAACTGCGCTCACAGAAGAAGAATTTGTTTAATATTTATACCCCATCCATAATCACATACACGGAGTTAGCTACTTGAGAGTACACCTGTTGAGAATGGTCGTTCTTTTTCCTATGCCACAGTCATGCCTTTTTTTAATTGCTGATTTTTGGGTCATGCCAAAGAGACTTGAGTTCAGTTCCTGACTTTCCAAAAAACTTTCTCTGTGAACTTGAATGAGTCACTCATTATCTAATCTGCTGTACACTGTCACTGATATCTTTGCAAAGTTATATTACCAACTAAAAATTTTAGTGTTTTGCACAAATGCAAACAGCTACAGAAAGCAAAGGGTCCCCTCTTTTGCCTCAATTCTCTACTCACAAAATTGGAGAAAATACATCCTTTCATCTTTGTAAAGAGTTTATTTTATGCAAGCTGGGCATACATCATATCATCATGATCATGGCTAGGCTTTGTGAACGAAGATTTGGGAAGGGCTCTACCCACGTTTGCTACAGGCGTGCTGGGGCCAATGCAAGATAGACAAGATTGACAACAACCTGAAGAGTGCTAGAGAAATACAAGAAGAAACACAATTTAATTTGATTAATGGCAACTTAACTCCATCTTGTCAAAGAAAAACTGAGAAAAGGAAATCTAAACAGCTCAGAGACAGACTATTTGTACCAACTACATCCAAGTAGGGAGACAAGATAGCCAAGCTGCTCTGAAAGGCAGGATGTGTGGCCCAGGTCTAAGGTCCAGTAGCTGCAGTCCAAAGAGATCTGCCAGGGAAGAATACAAAGTTCTGGGGGTACAAAATTGTCAGTACTGTGCCTTGCTGGAAAAAGGGATCAAAAATACAAAGGGAATTACTGTCACATTGGCAAAGTACAGACTGCAAAATGTTATGGGCAAAAATAGTTGCTGCCAGTGCAATACATGGTACAAGACTACAAAGAGGGAGAGAGATTTGCTGAGGACACTTTTTGACAACTGATAGGCACGTTTAACTGCAAATAAATAAATAAATAAATAAATAAATAAATAAATAAATAAATAAATAAATAAGAAATTAAAAAAAAAAAAATAAAAGAAGAAGAGACCAGACCCTCTAACAGCAGAAAGTGAGATAATTTGGGTTATGAATAAGATGGAAACAGTACCAATTGTCTGCTTTACTTTGCTATCTTGCAGGTGAGGTGTAAAATACCTACACTAGAATTTGGGTCCATTATAAAATTAGCAGGCTGTCAGGTGGCAGTTGCTATGAAGACCTCTAAAATACTGAGGGGAGGTAAAACATGTAGAACGTACAGACGCAGCGGTCCCAGCTCAGGCCTTTTGTCTACCCTTGAAGAGGGACAGTGACACTAACAGAAACACTTGCTTCGAATTATCAGATTCTTTGGATTAATTTTTTATTTAATTTTTAATTTTTTTACTGCTCAATATATTCTCCTTCAGAGCCGCGAGGGCCACCTCTGCAGCGCGGAGGTTCGGCGGTGCTCCTTTCCCAGCTTCCCCTCCCCGGCGGCCGCGCCGCCGCCGCACCATGGCGGGCGGGAGGCGGGGGCGGGGCGGGGGCGCCGGGAGGCCGCCTGCGCGCAGGGGCCGCCCCTCGCCCCGCACCGCCAGCGCTCGCACCCGCCGCCCCGCCGCGGTAAGGGAGGGGGGGAAGGGGCCGCGGGCCAGGCGGTGCGGGGTGGGGGGCGCGGGGCGGCCGGGCCGGGGCCGCGCTGCGGGGAGAGCGGGCGGCGACAGCGGCAGCGGCAGGGCCGTGCGGGCCTGGCCGGCAGGAGGCCGCGGGGGAGGGATCCCTGTCTCCGAGGGCGGGAGGGTGGAAATGGAGGCACAGGAGAGCGCTCAGGGGCAGCGGGCAGGACTGGCTGTGTGGAAACGGAAAGGGGCGTCCCGAGCCGGGGCCGGGGCCTTGATACTGCTTCAGCCCCTCTAGCTCGGTGCTGCGGTGGGATGGGTGTAAGGCACTGCCTGGTGGGCACCCCTCGGCTCCGGCCCCACCGGGGTGATAGAAGACAACGATCAGCCCCTGAGGGCTCTCTGTGGTGCGTGTCTTTTCTTGGCCGGTGCCCCACAGAAGCGCACAGCTCTTAGGGATGAAACGTTTTCGGTTTGACGTTTGTTACCTGGTGTGATATTACCTGGTTTCTCCTCAGGATTTTCTTGTATGCTGACCCTGGCAACCACTGACAGGACCTGAGTTATGTAAGGCCTGAAGTTATGTAAGGGGAGGTTTAGGTTGGGTATTGGAAAATGGTTCTTCACCCAGAGGGTGGTTGGGCACTGGAACAGGCTCCCCAGGGCAGTGGTCACAGCACCAAGCCTGACAGAGTTCAGGAAGCATTTGAACAGTGCTCTCAGGTACACGGTAGGATTCTTTGGGCTGTCCCGCTAAGAGTTGGACTTGATGATCCTAGTGGGCCCTTTCCAACTCAGTATATTCTGTGACACTTTTGGTCTGTCCCACTTTCAGCTGCCTGGTTGGCCTTACTGCCTGTGCAAGCTGACAGTGTCCACTTCTGTGTCAGCCTTCCCAAATTTCCTTAGCAAATTTGCTACTTTTGCACTACCAGCTATTCTAAAATTCCCATTACTCTTTCTTTGCTCGTATTTTTCATACTGCTTGCCATGGAAATAACCCTTCTGCTTTTCTGTTTCTGCCATCCCACAGAGTGTTAGAACATGGTAATTAATTTCCATCAAAGATGAGAACAGTCCTCAGTATTGTGGTAATTAGTGGCTGGATACGGCCACACACAGCGAGTGAAAGGTGGGAGAGGTTTATCTCCTGTACAGTCATTGTGGAGGTAGCAGCCTGGCCCCATGTCACAGGCAGCTGCAGGTTAACCACAGCACATGAGATTGCTTGTTGGGTAGCAGTGTTGGTAGACAAAGAGCAAGCCACAGTTACTCCAGAGGTAAAGGTGATTGAAGATGTGGGTCTGTAGGAAATCAGGAAGGCTTTGCCCGTCCTGCTCACAAGAGTTCAGTCTCCCCTGTCCCTTTTCTGTGGGGAAATAAAAAGTTAATGAAAGATCAGAAAGTGTTTTCAGGAGATTCTGAAAAACTACAAAACTAAACAAAGATATTTCAAGTTGTACTCAACTCTTCTTTTCTCAAAACTCATTGTAAGTCCAGGAATGTTTTATTTTCAAATTTAACTTGCTTTTCTTTTTTTGCAGTTAAAATCATGGCTCTGAAACAAGTTTCCAGCAACAAATGCTTTGAGGGTTTCCAGAAGGTGTTTGAACACGACAGGTAAACACCACTAAAGCAGCCTAGATGTTTAGCCTGGGGCTAAACACATACTGTCATTGCTGTCAGTGTTTTCAGTCTACAGGAAAATAGCATGTTCTCACTAATATCCATATTTCAGTAAGAAATAATGTCTTCTGCTGCTTTGACTGTGTTCTTGTATTTCTGTGTTAATGTTTAACATAATCTAGGGTACTTAGTGCTGCAGATCTGAGATAAAAAGCCGCTATTTTTACCTTTGAAAATGAAGCTCCATCACTTTGGATTGTCTTATTTGCGGCACAGAGAATCACTGTGGGTGCAAAGTTCCATTCACTCTACTAGATATTTCACTTCTATGCACTCAGGAGAAGAGCAGACAGATGCAGTAGATAGTTCTTCAGTAAAAATTACTTTGCAATTTAATAGCCAAAGCTCAAGTTAAATATTGCTGGGGTTCAGAATTCAGTTTTCAAACTGTTCCCAGTTAGCAGCACTGCAAAAATGTGGCTTATTTGTAAGCCTCTGTTGTAAGGATATTCAGAACAAGGTAGGAAAGTCAGCTGTTGCCAATTCAAGTCTAAGGCTGAGTTTAAAAATGGCTTTTCACTTAATTTACCTTAGCTGTTACAATTCACTGACAAAATTTCTCTTTGAATTAAATGCATTGAGTTACCTTTCTGTTTTTTTAATGATAGTGATCTTCTTAATCAAGTAGTGGTGATAACAAGGAGTCTTTTATTAATACAGTGCAGAGCTAAAATGCAAAATGAAATTTGGAATCTACTTGCCTCCAAAAGCAGAAACTGGAAAGTGTCCTGTGCTGTATTGGCTCTCGGGTAAGTAACGTGAATTTCAGTAATTTAAAAAAGATAATCTTAAACATGTTCAAGCTACTGAGCTAAGGTTACTGAAAACCTAATGTAGAGCTACTAAAGTGGGAGCTCTTGAATTCTACAAAAGATCATCTTCTGGAAGAAGCATTTACTTTGAGTGTACTGTGATACATTAGAATGCAGCCAGCCTTGGGGGTAGCCTACCAGTTCTAAATACTCAGTGTTCAAAATATTCTGCCCTTGTGTTCTAAAATGTTCATTCTTTTTGTTCCAAATCTTATACATTTAAAGGTTCTCCTGAAAGGCCTTCCCACTGGGGCACCTCCTGCTTCTGTTTTTTTATGACAGACTGCTTCAGCTAACAGAGTAGGGATGTGAAATACAGCCCCTGGAAGCCAGCACATTTGTCCTGTGGACTCCACCTTATTCTGAGTGCTGTTTTGCAGGGGACAGCTGGTGAACTTGAAGAGAGAGGTGCTGTTAGCTGCCTTAGTGCATACACATCTAGAGTAAGGTAAACCTGTAGGATCAGAAAGGGCCGGGGGCTGAACAAGGTTGTGCAAGAGCAGTGAAGTTGTCCATCCACAGCATCGTTTCTTTGTCTCTCCAGCTCCTGCAGCTTCCTATCCAGCTGCTATCTTGCTGGATGTAAGCCAAGCTGGGATGAGTCTGCGTGTACAGACATGTGCTCCCAGTTATCCTGGCTTTGTTTCTCCATCCTATTTCTACCATCTCCCATAGAGCTGGGTCTTGCACCAAAACTGCATAAATAATGTTAAGGCATTATTTATTGCATAAATAATGGTCAGATTTATGTTGGTGAAGGCTCTTGGATAAATTAATTAAATCGTTGGGGTTTTTTCCTATTATTCAAGATGAAAAGCAGAAACTCTGTTCTGTAATTATAGGAGTTGCTTTATTGAGACTTCTGTTTAGAAAGCGGGAGACTTGACTGTTAGTGTGAATAATATGCTCCTTGTATGTATTCATTAGACAAAATATCTAGTAGGTCTGATTTGGAGAATAACAGCAGACACGTAAAAATGTTTATCCTTAATGTTAGAAACATCAAAATTTTCTGAAGAGCTCTGAGCCATGCAACACATTTATTTTTTGAATGTAAACCATGCTGTCTTGGCTAGTATATCCATCAATGAGGTTATTTGCAACTTTCCCTCAGAGAAAACAAGAATCATTAAACCCTCTCAAATTACAGAATGAAGAAAAATTAAAATATTAGTGTGGAATATTATTTATTTGTAATTGGACTTAATTTGGGCCTGCTGCAGTACAGAAGGCATGGATTGCTGTGGGTTTGGAGAAAAGTGCTTACAGGCCCTTATACTGCCTAAAGTATGTGAACTTTGTCAGACCACACGTGTAATTCTGTGATGCAAACAGCTGAGATGGCAGTAGACAGAAAAATATAGTTACAGGGTTAGGTGTCAAAAGTAAAGGATGTCAACCTTAGCAACAGTGTTTGTGGTTAGTGGATTTAAATTCGTGGTACTTGAGGGCACTATAAGCTGTATAAGTAGGGACTCAAGGGGATACAGGGTACACACTGACCTGGTTTTGATCACATGTTAGTGTTAGTGTTACTAGACCTGACATGCAACTGTGTCTGTTCCTGTGGATTGTTAAGTATTGTTGAACCTAGTGAAAAGACTTTTCCATGTTTATGGAGATAGGAATCCCTTGTTTTTCAAAACCTTTTCTGTCAAGAAGGGTTTTGAAACCGGTATACTGTAAATGATAGGTAACCAATGATATTTTTATTTCTCTAGGGTTAACTTGCACAGAACAGAATTTTATAACAAAAGCTGGTTTTCAACAAGCTGCAGCTGAACACGGTCTCATTGTGGTTGCACCAGACACAAGCCCACGTAAGTTCTAGCAAGAGTCATAAGAGTCGTTACGCTGAAGGGCACTGTCTCTATCCTTGGCTAATGGAGTGCTGCAGTTTGCTACAAAGTGTGTTGCCCACCTGAGTCAGAGTATGACCTCACCTTCTGTATCTTGAATTGTTCGCTAGATCATATTGTGTATGTACTTAATAATGTGGTAGTGAGGGTTCGACATTTGAAACTCTCTTGCTGTTGTGGCACTAAAACTAGAACAAAGGGGCCATTGAAGTCAGCACGAATGAGGAGAGGAAAGAAAAGTGAAACAAGAATCATGTGTTATTAGAATTCTTGCTGACACTTTGTGACTTGCTGAGACTCTGTAAAACCTGCAGAACTATGTTGTGACACAAAGCTGTGATGCTTGCTCTTTATCGTATTCTGTCTTCTAAAGCCAATTAAACACATGTCTGTAGAGGATTCCATACTTGGAAAAACAAACCAGAAACCCTTCCCCCCCTGCCACTACAATAGACTACTGATGAACGGAGTTTTTAAATGTTGTGCTGTTATTTGTATAAGGCTGAGTATGGGAAACCTGAAAATCGTGGATCAGCACTTGTTGGAAATAGAGTCATTTGGGGATTCAGTGTTTTATGTTTCATATTTGCTGGGTTCTGCTAAACTCTCATGGGTGCTATATACAAAAGTGGCAGTCTTCCACTGTTTCCCAAGCTTTAATGGGTCAGATCTGAATAGAGACAATATTGAAATGATGTGATATTCTGTCCATAAAATATTTTTCACATTGAGGTTTTGAAGTTGTGTCAGGTCAAAGAACATAAATACATGTTTCTAGTGAAGAAGAGAGACAGAAGATCAAAACTTGTGTATGAATGAACTTTACCCTTAATTGTTGCTATTTGCTGCAGGCTAGAGATGGGCAGCTAACCTTTGTCTTATTGACATTGAGTGATTATGCTGGAACTTGTTTTTGATGTTGTCTGTGTAACTGCATTTGCATATTCATTGCTGTGTCCATTTTTTTTTAAATCCCTTTTGGCAGCTTCTCTTGTGCCTTTAAGTCTAATAACTCATAAGGATTGCTTTGCTATTTGGATGAAATTCAGTATGTGTTTCATATTATACTCTTAAATTTTAGCTCAGAGACTCCAAATGTTCTTAAGTCTCTTTGAGCTGTCTGGAGAAACAAGTGAAGAGCAATTAAAATATAATCATTAGTTAAGAGATCTGAGCACGTGCAGTGAAAATGCTTACATATGCCTTTTAACTGTGTAGTATGGCTAAATGAGAATTATCTTCCAGGAGCTAGGAAATATACCTGGTGGGTAAAAAGACTGCATGAAATCATTAAATACCTGTCATTACAGACCCTCTGTCAGGCCTTGGTAGACTTTACTTTTCCTTCTTTTAAGGGGTTTGCTTTTCCAGGCGGGTGTGCTGAGCAGTATTACGCAGATTTCTTTTCAAATTTCTGGTTTTTCAAGGCTTCATGAAAGTTTCTTTTAGGATAATGAGCATTGCCTTCATTGCCTGGCAGGACTTACTGAGTTTTTGTCTATCTCCGAGGTACCGAAGATAGACTTTCTTTATCCAACATGTTGTGTAAGCGCCCTGAGTCCCTGGGGCTGTTGGACTGTTAAGTTATGAAATCACTCAGCATTCAAGGGCATGTCAGTCTGGAGCAGAGTCAACTTTGAATCCTTGTGCAAGTCTGATTTCACACTGTGACAGCGTGGCAGGTATCTTTACACAAAGTATGAGGCACTGTCAAATTACACATGGGTTTGCAGTGTAATCTGACAGTGGTAAAAACCCATGTAATTTTGGATTGCAGAAACTAGGAACATTTTGGAGAAAGAGAGGCCATTATTTTCCTACCACATATACCTTGAAATATTACATTCTGTTCTGCAAACCAGGCTGGTAAATCACAGACTAATCAAAGGGAGGACTGGATGGGATGTATTACTTTCAAGGACATATCTGCAAATTTAGTTTGAAAGCGTAGCCTTGGAAAAGAGGTTATAACCTTGCAGTTATTCAAAGAAGAAGCTACTTAAGTTTCATGGAGAGATATAGGTGGAAGCAATGAAATGAATTGCAGAAAAGGTAGAGGTATAGACTTAAGAAATTACAGGAACAGTAAGTGTTAATATTCTCTAGAATCTTAGAAAGGAAGGTCAGCAGACATTATTTGAAGCACATAAATTGGCCTAGACACACTATTTGGTGATAGGTGTTCTGGGGGAAAGGAAATTTTCTTCAGTTTCGGTTTCTCACGTAGTTTCTTGTACTTGATAGGATGAGGCCTAGAGACTGAAATAAGCTGATAGGGCCAATTAACAAATAACAACTTTTGATTAAGTCCCTAGGTAAATTGGACAAAGCTTTACAGAAGTAATTTAGGAGAGATCTGTATGTCATATTTAGTTATGAAGATATACTGAAACTATTTAGAAGTTTGATATATATGCAGGTATTATGTAAGTGACATTTTGAAAGGGTTGTTGAAATAACGGTTGAAAACACTGTACTAATGAATGAAAATCTGAATTGTTTTATATTTGGAGGGGTAGAGATATGATGATTGGGAAACTTGAGTCCCAAGTCTCTGATTTGTATGGCAGGTTCTCCAATTCTGAACATGTAGTAAAGACAGTAACTGTAGAAAGAATTTTCATTCTAGGTGGCTGCAATGTTGAAGGAGAAGATGAAAGCTGGGATTTTGGCACTGGTGCTGGTTTTTATGTGGATGCCACTGAAGATCCTTGGAAAACAAACTATAGAATGTATTCCTACATAAAAGATGAGGTAACTTTGCTCCTGTTGATGCTGGGTAGGGTAAAGGGGTACGGTTCAGTCATACTCTTTGTTCCTAGCACCAAAGTTTGCTTAAGGTGATTTCGATAGCCTGTGGATGGTTTGTCATTTTCTTGCTTTTCTCTGTTATAAAAAGAATGTATTTTTTCTTTTTGAATCCCTGATTGTTTCAGTGATCAGATTTATCCAGTTGTTAGGCCTTTCCCCACCAAACAGATATTGTCATAGTGTTGCCCGTAACCAAAAGAAACACAAACCAACAGAGTGCCGGTTTATGCGGTGCTTTATTCGGGGCCCCGGGAACCTGAGGACTAGCGTCCAAAGTCAGGATTCCGAAGACTCTCATTTTCAGTTCAGCTTTTATACACAAACAAGTTTATGTGCAGTTTCCACGGCAAACCAGTTACAGTTTCCACAGCAAACCAGGTGCAGTTACAAACAAGCTCATACTTCATACTGATAACAATTAATAATCATCTGCTCCAATCATAAATCTGCTTAAGTTGTCTTATCCCTAGAAACTGTTTAACAGACCTTAACCACATCCTAGGTAACAAATCGTTGCATACATGCCTGACTAGATCTTTTGATTATGGTTTCCACTTCACACACAAACAAAGTTGCTTTCTAGGCCTACTCTTCTACTAAGCCTTAGCCATTCTACTACTAATTTAAATTGCTGTGCAACATGTCCCCCCTTTTGAGCATTCTTCAGGCTTTGCTTGCAAGGATGCTCAAATACAGCAATCTTCAGGCTGTAGTTTCTTGGTAGGTAGGAGGTGATTCCTTTTGCGGTGAGATTATTTCTTTTCTTGTTATAGCTTTCATGATGCGTCTCGTATGTTGACCTTCTTTTACAATCATTCCTAAAAGACACTTGTAAACAGTTATGGCTATGACAATAATTATTACAATTAATATTCCGTACTGGATAACAGAAGATATCCATCCTGACACATGAAGACCTAGGGAGCTGAATAATTGTCCTATCCAATTATGCTCTGCTTCTTTTTGCAGTTCATGAACATTCTCGTCAATTTGTTCTAATTGGCTAATATCTTTCTCAACTTCTTGAGTGACATTTGGGATGTGTACACAACAATGCTCGTCCTTTGCATGCAGGTAGCCGCAAACTCCATGTTCTTTAAGTAATATTAAATCTAATGCCATGCGGTTTTGTATGGTCATTCTAGAGGTGGCTTGTAATTGTAAATTTAGATCTTTAAATCCCTTCTTAGTGACTGCTGCTAACCTTTCAGTTTGTCCCATTAATTTAAACAACATTTCTCTGTTCCGGTATGTTGAAATTGGTGCAAATAGAGACTCTAATGCCCATCCAAATTTAACTCCTGCTGATGGTTCATGCCAATCTCTCAACCCCAGGTCATCAATATCTTTACTAATTTCTCTTTTCCCTCGTGGTTGTATTTCTACTGATGTTAACTTGTCTTGCTTCCAGAATGGACAGAGAGTAG